TCTGCGCTGACATTTTGGACACCTCCAGGTGGTCAGCGATGCTGAATTGAGAGTAGCAACAATGAGCTCACACGGTGTACGACGAAGACCATGGCCAAAAATCGTAGTCGTCTTTTTTGATCACCAGAGACATCCTCGCGACGATGTCGCGGCGAGTGCGAACTGTCGAATTCGAAATTATGTTAGTGTAATTTACACATAGGATTGATTCGCAGGTAACAGTGATCAAACACAGACAGATTTCGTTTACCTACGTCTACGGTCTAGCACTTGAAACCGTATAAAACTGACTAGGCATATTCCTGGTATGCATGGGTGTTTGAGGCAACAGAGATGCCGCGTCGCATCCCTGAACACTTTCCGACGATTGTGGAAAGAAAAAAGGGAGCAACATCGATTTGGGAGGCGATGTCATTTTTACTCTGTCTATTCGGCAGCAGCCTGACCTGAAAGTATTTGATGATGACTGCTTCCAGTTAACAAATATTAACCGGTGGAGTTATTTCTTTTGGTGAGGGAGGCAGTTAAAAACAATTTAGTTTTGCCAGCACGCACGGATAAACCGATCAATATAGCAATTTTATTTACCCGCAGCACCGCACTCTGCAGGTCAGCACAGTTAACTACGAAAAGTCGGCACCCGGATGAAATTCAACATAATCGATCTCGTGGGGAATCTTTCGGAGGATCCGTTGGATGGCGTAGATGGACAGAATTGGCGACAGGGTAAGACAATATCGAACGCCAAACTAAGCATCGGACGATTGGGGAGTTTGCTGTTGATCAGAACTTGGACAGCGGTGGAACAGCAGCAAATCCTTAAAAGGGCTATGGTTTTGGTAGCATAGCATATATTTCAATTCTCCGTCAATAGATATCACAGATGGCAGAACCGAATAAGGCGGCGCGACCAACTAAAGTGACGGGTATCGGGTGCTTGTAGCAACGGCAGAATTTAAGAATGTAATGGTGTCAAAATTTGGTTTATGCATTCATGCCCAGCTTGAAACTCGGATCGGTTAGGTTCCACCCTAGAGCAACACACACTGAAAGCGCAAGAGAATAATAAAGAAAATCTTTGTAAAAACCCCGGTGAGAATTATGTTGCGGTACTTCCAGCACTTTACCACATTTATATTCTTGAAGAGAGGTACATGAGTGAATGGGCCCCAGTCATTAGGTACGAACTGAGTCCTACAAGTGCTTTATCACCTATGGAAGCCGAGAGGCCAGACTGACGATACAAGACTTGTAGATTTCAGTGGGACTACATTCCTCTATGGGGCCTTCTTGTGCAACCATGGTAACGCATTAGCAATTTCT